TCTGACCCTGAGTTCTGAATGGTGAACATTCTCACTATCTTGCTGGAAAACAGACTTCCACTTCACTTCCTGGGATTTTCCAAACTAGACCACCTCTTTATGTTTTATATTCCCACATCAAAAATATAAACTCCTTGAGGTCACGAATGATCTTGTTTACTTGTATTTTTGTTGCAGTGCTTACCACAGTTTCTGGTACGTAGTATGCACTTAAATGCCTTTTCATCAGTTCATTCTTACTTTTTTCAAGCTTCAAGTGAAGCTGTGTCTAATAATTTGAAGCACTGTTACTAGGGACATTTAGTGTTGTGAAATCACTTTTTCCCACCCATCTTATCCTTCCACAGCCAATTCTTCCAATATAGTTATTTTTTTTTTCAGTCTGCTCTGTCAAGAAAGGTCATAGTCAAATCTTCTACAAAACATGTTCTGCCTAATGACCCTCTAAGAAATCAAATACTGGGTCCCTCCTTGATCATTCTTCTAGCAACTCCTTTATAAACTAAAATTAGTGGAAAAGAAACTGATAACTAGTTACATATAGTATGTTTAGAACACTAAAAATGTCATAGGATCATAGGTTTAGAGCTAGGAGTCACATGACTGGTCATCTAGTCCAATCCCCTCATTCTATAGGCAACTGAGGCTCAGGAATGTTAAATATCTTACCCAATGTTACACAGATAGTGTCAGAGGCAAGATTTGAACTCAAATCCTGAGCTCAAACTCTGAAGTCATTGATTTTTCTCTTATACCATGAAGTATTTACAGTAATTTAATTTCTTGGTATTAGAATGAAATGTCTCTTTATTCAACATGTATGAATGGATTTATACTATGTGCTGGAGTCTATATTAGGCATTGTGCAGAAACATTCAGATAACTCTGGGTATCTGTCATAGTACTGGATATATTATTGACATGCCACCAGTATAATTCATACTTCATTTTTAGGAAACCATATAAACCATTGCAAAGTAATTTCCATGGACTTGAGAAGGGCTCAAATGCATTTCTCACTGGAGAATTGACTAAGGCAATCAAAGTGCTAGTCATTCAGTCCATAAGCATTTATTAAACACCCTACTGTGCGTCAGGGACTATGCTAAGTGTCAAGGAAACAAATAAAAGCAAAAGACAGGCCCTACACTCAAAGATACCTTCTCCAATGGCCATTTTTTAAAGCATCTGGTGATTGAATGGATAAAGTCAGAGAAATAAGACCTGGGTGTTAATTAAGCAATATTGAATTCAACAGATTGGTGAAAAGCAAAGTGGAGAGAGACACCTGGTGATTGCCTGCCATAGAGCCTCTGAAGTTGCTTTGCAAATATGGGGATTGATGCATTAATAGTTCTAACTGTAAAAACTAACTTTATTATTATTATTGTTGTTTGTTTTTATTTTGCTTTCAGTGAAGAGAAGTAGCTGGTATGTATAATGGGGGCATTATTTTATGCTTGTTATATGCAATTCTGACCTATACTTCCCATATCAGCAGAGGACCATGTTTTCAATAGGAGTATTTTACCTGAGTTGCTGTAAGTCAGGGAGATCTAGGATGTTACAGTCTCCAAATAACTGAAGATGACCATTCCACAGTAGGCAATGGAAATGATTCATAGTGGACATTGGCATGTTGCAATATATAACTAATGAGGAACTCGGAAAGAGAACGGGAGTAAGGGATGTCTCCAAAGAATCATGTGATAGAAAGAGAAGACAGTTGGTCATGTAATGGGAATGAGAGATGACATATGGATGACAAGAATGTACAAGGAGTTACCCTCATGAGGTTGGAAGAAATTGAGTAAGTCCTCTAGCATATTGGATAGGTAACCTGTGATGGTATTTTTGGAAATGCACAACATGAGATCAGATGAGAATGCATAGATTGTGGTTTGCATCACTGGTGGGAACCTTTGAATTGATGAGATTGCAGATCCATTTGAGAATTTGAATTCAATTCTATATTATGTTTCAGTATTTAGTTATTCAAGAGAATCTCTCTTCTCTATTCTCACTACATAATATAAGCAAGAAATAAAAAATGTAAAAGAAATCTGTTTTTAATAGGAAACTCAGAGAAGACTAAAGAAGTGGCCTAAATTTTATAGATTAAAAGAATCACCTTCCTTTAATGATATTGTTTAAAAACCCTCTTGGGGCTTGGCATACTTAATGAATGTGTTTGTAAGAAACAGGCAGATTAATAGAAAATCTTCAGAACTATAGCCAAGATAAATGAGTTATGCAAATCAGAATTGATTTTCATCAATATCCACATCATTTATATTGCTGAGCATCAGACACAATTCTTCTGCTTATAGCTTTAATTTTAACTAATTATTCTATTGTTTCTAAACCAGTAAGATGTTAATGAAGGAGCTGAAGGCCAACTTTGAAGTGTACTTCTGTCTTTCAGTTAACACAGATAATTAGCTATCATCATGGATGCATATTAATGCAATGAGAGGCAGCCTAGTATTTTGGATAGAGTGCTGGCCTTGGAGTCAGGAAGGCCTGGATTCAGGTCCAGCATCTGTGATACTTACTAGTTTTATGACTGTGGGCAAGTCTTTTAATTGCTCAGTGCCTCAAGCTCCTCTGTAGGATTTAGTGTCCACCAAGTCAAAGCTGGTTCAGAGCTGTTTTAGTGGAACTAGTGAGGAAGACATTATGATATGAAGACAATGTGATAAAAATTACCAGCTCAATCTTTCAATCAACTGAAGAAGTTTGTTTGATAATCCAGGGTTTCCCTGCAATTAGTATGGAAATTTCTTGGATACAGAGATTTTTTTTTTTTGCTTTCAGTCTAGTACCTAAACTTCAATTAATTAGATGTAAATGTTTCACTCACTTTAGCTCTGAGAAAAGATCAATGCTATCACTTATCGAAGCTAAGTCCATGCTATGTCTAAATATGGAGATCTCTTATTTTGGAAAGGTGGTTGGCAGGTACAGCTATAAAGTAGTAGATGGTTTGCAAATATTATATTCAGAATATCTTCCTACTTAGACTTTGTTTCCTGTCTATCAGCCAGGATGGGAGGATCACCTATTCTTATACCTCTGCTTTTCTCATCTAGACAAGTTAGCAGCCTTCCATATTAGTATAATCAGCCTCCAGGAATGATGGCATAGTGGAGAAAAGAATGGATTTGAAAGTCACAGTGCCTGAATTTGAATCCTGAAATACTACTTATGAATTGAAAATAAATGACAACTTTTCTGGACCTCAGTTTCTTCATATACAATGAGAGGGTTGGAAAAAAAATAAGACCCAAGGTCCCTTCCACCTTGAAATCTATGGTTATATGTCATTTTCCCTTTCTAAGCCTCAATTCTATGTTCTGTAAAAAAATGAATATCTTAAAACCTATAGATCCCCCTATAGGATTATCTTGAGGGTCAAATGAAAGTATATATAAAGCATGTTGAAAATCTTAAAGTACTATTTATATGCTAACTGTTATTGATGATAAATCTGGAAGGTTTCACTGCTTCACAATATCTCCTGATTAAAGATTCTCGCTTTCTCATGTTCTTGCTGTGAATTTGGCAACATGTATACTTTCATAAGAGTCTGGAAATTGAATAGCACAATACAATATAAAGACTTAGCCCCTATCGTTAAAAGGATTACAAGCTGTATTTCTTTATCACTCATTGAGTTACATGAGATGATAGATCTCTACTCCTTTGATTATAAGTGGCCTCAACCTCATGTGCAGTTGGGCTGTAATTCAAATGGTATTACTAGTTTGACTTGGATTTATATTCATTAAATTGTAGACCTGAAAGTAATTTCTTTAATGAGCCTTCTCTTTTGATTTTTTCCCCTTACAGTCAGCAATATCTGCTGTAAAAAATTGCTGTGCATTGCTCTAACTGTACCAGAATCAATGAATTTTAGGGAGTAAAAGCACAACTGGACTCAGATGAGCAGAAATGAATATTCTTGAGTCAGAATGACTGAAAAAGCATCAAAGTGATGTTTTTTTTTTTTGCCATCCATATTCTAATGAAAATCAGAATATGAAGAAGAACTGGTCACATGACAAGAGCAAAGGATAACTGATAAATATACCTTGTTTTCCCCTGGTATCCTTGTATTATCAGGAGAAAGCAAATAAGAACCCTCCCCTTACTCCAAGATGTTGGCTAATCCCTGTGGCAAACATGGGAGAATATGGACAAGAGTCTCATTGACTGTTCAAGTATGGATGAGTAGTGATCTGCCTTAAGGGAGTGAATACATCTCTGAGATAATTTATCCAGTTGAGTGTTTGAAAATTGAACTATTGAAGGGAAATAGCTATATAATTTAATAATATAAATCTCCCATTTTGGGTAACTTATTACTGTTGAAGGAGGGTCAAGCATATTTTCCTCTTGAAAGAGTCCACATAAACAAAGCAAATATATAACCTCACTAACAGAATAAAGTGATTTCATTATTTTAAGGAAAGGACTGTGCTTCAGTGGATCTGTGATCTCATTGATACACATACTCTTCAAATTAGCAGGTTTACCCATATACATGCTTTTTCATTTTATGCGTTTATTAACCATACCTTACCATAAATCATTTACAGGGGATCCATCCTAAAGTAAATGTTGGGGACCTTCCATTAGTACCTTTGATATCATGTAGAGACCGGTAGAGCATACAGTCTGGCTTTCAGTTACCTGTCTCTCTCATTCAGTGGGCCAATGGGCCAACATCTTTTCGAGTCATACATATCTCTGGTAACACATTTTCGGCTCCTTCTCTTACCCAATTCTTGGTTTGCCATTGATGGGACTATGCTTTCTCAAAATGAGAGCATTAGAATAGATGGTCTTTGAAGTTTCAGCTCTATTTCCAATGATCATCAATGTAGTTATGGCTCAATACTCCTCAAGGATAAAATTATGGAAGTTATCTGTTTTAAATGAGTTTTTTTCCTATTTCCATAATTAATTACTTGCATTTGGAAACTTCAAATTTTCAGACTGAGAAAGGACTTTCAAAAGTGTGGAGAGAAGAAGGACAGAATCCTGGCAATCATTGGAAGAAGGCAGAAGTCCTTCTGGGAAAGTTAAGAAATTTTGAAGTTATATTTGAAGGCATCAGAACAAGAGATCTGGGAGGAGGAGCAGCAATTGATGACATTGAATTTAGGAATTGTAGCACAGGTAAGTCCAAGGCAAGTATTTCCATTAGAATCAGTTGTTTCCTTGCTATTTTGTACATATATGTGTATATATATATATATATATATATATATATATATATATATATTTATAAACTTTGTTATAACTGTCATCCACTCAAAATCTAGATAGATGTCCATATTTGTGCAAACTTTGATAGACACATCACTTCACTGGGTAATATCATTTCCATCCCTTACTTCCAACATGTAATCCTCTCTCTCACCCTCAGTATTGAATTCCTCACCAATTCTAACATTTGGACGTGTTGCTCCTCTTTTGTAAACATTTTGGTAAAGGCCTGTTTAGTGTAACAAATTAAATTTGAGCAATTGTAATTTATTAAGTTTATATCAGTAAAATGAATACCAGTAGAATGGAAGTAGGAAGCTGGCTAGGAGTGGGTAGCATTTACACATATGTATTAGATCTGTTCGGACTGTCTTGGCCAAATAGCATTTCTGACTCAAATAATATAATAAAATATTCAATAAGGATATTTAAGTACATCATATTAACTTTCAGGTTTGGCTCCTTAGGCACAGAGGCTAAGCCCTAAATCCATACCTGTAATTTTAGTTAATTCATAATTTTAATATGAAGTCTTTATTAATCCTTTATCCAAATATTGGCTTTTGAAATCAAATCCACCAATCTATTCTCAGTAACATACTCTGTGGCAGACATTTTTAACTGTGTGTGTATACACACACACACACGTACACATACACATTCGCACATACATACGTACATTATATACACATGTAGATGTGTGTATGTATGTATATAATCCCTTTGGCAGTCAGTGAGGCCTGTGGACACCTCCTCAGATTGTTTTTAAATGGACAAAATAGAAGACAAAGGATTACACAGGAAACTAATTATATTGAGATACATTTATCAAAATATATTTTTAAGTTCATGGACCTCAGGTTAACTACATCTTCTTTATGATGTGTTACATAGGGTGGCTTGGGGATTAGCTTCTGTGATTGAGCCATTGAACCTGATTGTTAGTTTTAAAACTGTGGTCCTTCTATTAAAATGCCATTGCAATGAAGCCATTCAAAAATGTGATTTGGGCTTTCAGCAATATTATAGTATCTGCATTTTTATAAGTAGCACTGTTTCAGAGGGTTCTGCCTAGGAGCAAATATCAATTCTGTTTTTCTCCTTCATTTCCCCCACCAGACACTCTCAGATGTACTGAATAAATCACAGACAACCACACTTCAAACTTCAGATGATTTATAGAACAACAAGAAACTCAGAGTACATGGGTCAATTGGTAGAAAGAGTATTATCTTGGGAGAGAATGGGTGTGACTTTGGTCTTAGTTGTTAGAAGAAAATGGAATTACAAAGCAGAACATCACACAGCAAATCTGGCGTCATAAATGAATCTCAAATTTTTCTCTGGTAACTTCATTCTGAGTCTATTACTCTTGTGGCCAGTAATTGAATCTCCAAATGATCTTGGCAAACTGAACAGAAAAAAAAATCTTTAAACAAATTCTCCAATGGTATTAGAAAGAAAGAAAGAATGGAATTTAGGACAAAGAGATGGAAATTGAGAGTTTTAATCCCGGATTTGGTCTGTGTTTTTCTTTACTGTCAACCTAGTTGCTGTGTTCAGATTTCCTTCTTTTATTCCTTTTTCTTTCCATAAAACCTCATGTCTGCCTTCGAGAGCCCAGCCACTACCTATAATTCATGTGTTCATTACCTCTCACCTTAAAATATTCTCCATTAATGTTTGCTTCACAGGTAGTAAGTTCATCCTGATTTATAATCTTTGAGCAAAGACTAAATGATTCTTTTTTTTTAATCAAAGAAACCCATTTATCAAATACCATAACAAACAAAAATCAGAGAACTTGTACATTGGAGAATACATACCAGGCAATAGAGGGTGAAGGAGCTTTCCCATGAGGAATCGGGTAATTCAGTTCAATTGAGACAGAAACCTAGATCTCCCCCAGACAGGTTCCCCAAGGTCTCTAGTGTAGCAATATGGAGATAGAGACTAGCAGCTCCTCTCATGTCAAATTCTACCCAGAACCTTTTCCTTCAGCAACTTGAATTGGAGTTGGTATCTTTCATCTTCTGTCTGGAAGCCAGAAGTGCCTAAATTTGAAAGAGACTCAGTGACTTGAAGAAAACTGAAGATCTTTCTTCCATCCCACTTTCTTAAACTTTACCTCACCCTTCATGCTGGCAAGGAAATAGATCTCCACCAATGAGGAAGAAATTCTGTTCTAATGGGCTTTGGGATTAGAATTACATTCCTCCCCTGGGCTAAAACTCATTGCAGTACCTTGCAAAGATCAGCTGGGGCACATTCAAAATGTGTAACTGTAAACACAAGCATCAGTGTTTTAAAACAACACAAATGGTTTTTCTAGCATCTCATGTAGCCAACCTTCAGTATCATTGAAATTTAAAACATTAAAACTAATGTACATCAACATTACCTGCAATGTCCATGGAACTACACAGAACATCATCTATCAGGATACTACAGTAGCAATATGCCTACTACATACAGGATATAATATGTGCACATTTCAAAAGTATACTCATATATAATACATAGCAATCAATCAAAAGCAATAAGCACGACTAACAAAACAAAGCTAGATAGCTGTGTGTGATACAACTTAAATATAGTCATCTGCCCATAACATGAAATATTGCTAAAAGAATACAGTAGTAAAAAAACAAGCATACTCAAACATGAAATAATTAGCATGTACAGCAGTAAGCATATGCAATTACATCCATGATGATGTTCACATTGGCAATGTCTAATATCATTGCCTAGATACATATATATCTACAAGTATTTTCAGGTTTGCCTGTAATGTCATAACATAGTCAAGTGACTGGTATAATAGACCTAGTTCTCCTGTCACTCAGTGATTGTTCTTGTTGTCCCTCTATCAGAGCTAGTCATTAATATGGGCTGACCATCAGAATCATTTTAGACTTTTGTACTTGTGGTGGCAGCTATGTCATGGTGATCGTCAGTATGTGGATTGAATCTGTACCTTTTGAGTCTCTGTAGAAGTTTTGGGCAGGGAAGGAGTTGCCTCTGGGTTTAGATCTCTTGCCCTGTATTAATACAATATACTTCCTTCACTGATTGCCTCGTTTTCAGTACCCACACCCGGGTCAGAACGTCTTTGTACAGACGGTGGACAGCTTCTTTTCTTCAGTCTTTGCCTAGGTTGCCCATTAGTTTTCTCTATCTGCTCATTTGAAAGTCCAGTGAACTCCTATGGGCCATAGGTTGCAGTGAATAGCCTTCATTGGGCCCCCTCCATTTTCAGAGGCTATTTTGTAAACAGGTAAGTTGTTCAATCAGACTGGTAAATTCCAGATGGACATATGAAAATAGTCTTTCCTCTTCTTCCTCAGATATAGAAATCTGGTAGTAACCACTACACAAGTTCAAGAATACAAACCACTGGTTGCCTCACAGACAATCCAGGACATCCTGCACCTGTGGCATAGCCTACTATACTATTTTAACTCTTTTGTTCAAAGTTCAGGAATCAACACATATTTGTATCTTTCTATTTTCTTTGGGCTCACCACTATAGGTGATACATAATGGCTACTACATTCTGTGATACCATCAATTAGTATTTCTTTGAGACAATTTCCGAGATCTTTCATCGCAGACAGGATACTCTGAGATCTTTTTCTGAATGGTCAGGAATCTGTGAGCTGAATTCTGTATGTTGAACATATCACATTTCACTCATGTAATGAGGACATACCTGTCCTCTTGCTGGATTTTAGCCTCAACTTCTCCTTCTGCTCTTGTGGTATTCGGGAGTCCCCAAGGTAAAATAACTCAGGATTTACTGTAGAAGGTGAACAGTTTGGGCTCCTGTGTTCACTGGAACTTCTTTCTCTATTCTTTTGTAAGTCTTTATGGATGGTCAAAGTGTGCAAATATTGGATCATAGCTTGTTGCTTGCAATACTTCTGCTAGAATTTTGAAAATACTAGAATTAATTACAATCAGTGCTGCCACTTCAGTGAGCATTGGAGGTTTTGTATGTACCAGAGCCAGAGTGTCCACTTTTTTATTGATACTGATGACTTTCTTTGACAAATCTCATGACTTGTAATTGCCTCAATTTCTTCAATTGCAAAATAGTGGTAACGAAAGCTGAGCTCTCAAGGTTGTGTTCAAATGCGATATTATTTGTAAAGCTCTTAACACCAAATGTTAGTTGTTAAAAGTGGAAAATGGTGATACTTCTGACTTTCTGTCACAGCTAGGTGGTATAGTGGATATAGCACTGGACTTGGAATCAGTAAGCTATGGGTTAAAATACAGCCTTAGATATTTACTAGCTATGTGACCTTGGGCTGGTAACTTAACCTCCATTTGCCTCAGTTTCTTCACCAGTAAAATGGAAATAATGATAGTACCTACCTTTCCAGGTTATTGTAAAGATTAAATGAGATAATATTTGTAAAGCTCTTAGTGGAGTGCCTGGCACATAGTAGATGCTTAATAAAATATTTATTAAAAATTGACATTACTTTGTTGTTTTCACATTAGTATTTTGTGGAGAGGTCTTTCAGTAAGGTATTGAATCATACAGCCTTAAGAAAAGTTTTGGGCATTTTATGTCTTTCATTTTTACATTACCTTCATTTTTCCTGGGACACTGCCAGTCATTTTGACTCATGTCTTGCCACTGAACTCCAGTGTCTCTGGAGGAGAGAGTGAGGCTAAGGACTTTGCATAGCTCTGCTTCACTTAAATCTAGTTTACTCGCAAGTCAAGACATCACCCTTTTGATGTCATTGGTCCTCTTTGAGAACAAAGATTGAACAACAACACAAACCTTCATTTCCAAATACATCACCTGCCCTATTGCTTACAGAGTCATCTCTTTTTAACAAAGAATTATAAAAGATCATTAAAAAAAAACAAAAAACCCAACTAATTCATTAAAA